ATATTTTATGCTCCTTTATCACCGATTTTATTGTCACTTTTCAAAATAAAGTAAATCAATTTTATTAACTATTTAAATTTGTTTTGAAATTAAAATCATAATATATAAAATAATTCAAGCTTTTTTTAGTTATCAATAAATAAATATTGTAAAATTTGAGATTAGTTAGGAACTTGCAGTTACCAAGTGCTTTACCAATAGTAGAAGCTCCATCATCCCCAATTTAATTTTTGCTTTTATAAATGCAATCACGTTTAATTAAAATTTAAGACATTTTATAAATTAAAAGTTTTTTTTAATTCAGTTTGAATAAAATGCTTTGACATAATTTTATTAAAAGTTATAAACGAAATAAATTTACCATATTTCAAATTCTAAATTTGTAAGTTGAGTGCAGTTACTCAAACCTAATCCAATATTTTATGCTCCTTTATCACCGATTTTATTGTCCCTTTTCAAATAAAGTAAATAAATTTATTAACTATTTAAATTTGTTTTGAAATTAAAATCATAATATATAAAATAATTCAAGCTTTTTTTAGTTATCAATAAATAAATAACATATAATTTTACCAAATGTAAAATTTGAGATTAGTTAGGAACTTGCAGTTACCAAGTGCTTTACCAATAGTAGAAGCTCCATCATCCCCAATTTAATTTTAGCTTTTATAAATGCAATCACGTTTAATTAAAATTTAAGACATTTTATAAATTAAAAGTTTTTTTTAATTCAGTTTGAATAAAATGCTTTGACATAATTTTATTAAAAGTTATAAACGAAATAAATTTACCTTATAGAGAATAATAAATTTGTAAGTTGAGTGCAGTTACTCAAACCTAATCCAATATTTTATGCTCCTTTATCACCAATTTTATTGCCTCTTTATAAACAGAATAAATTAATTTATTAACTATTTAAATTTGGGTTAACTTACATTTTATTTACACCATACTCAAATATAATTTATTTTACACGAACCCTCTTTTGTATTATATTTACACCATACCCTAATTATACTCCATTTACATCAACCTCAAATTTTATTTCTTTTACATCATACACTTATTATTAAGGGTATGATGTAAAAGAAATAAAATTTGACGTTGATGTAAATGGAGTATAATTAGGGTATGGTGTAAATATAGTACAAAAGAGGGTTAGTGTAAAATAAATTATATTTGAGAATTGTGTAAATAAAATGCAAGTTAACCTAAATTTGTTTTGAAATTTAAATTAAAATATATAAAATAATTCAAGCTTATTTTAGTTATCAATAAATAAATATAATAAAATTTACCCGAATATAAAATTTGAGATATGTTAAGAACTTGCAGTTACCAAAGTGCTTACC